CGAATCGACATATTGCATCGCTGGAGACGTGCTAGTTGAAAACAGTCTGACCAGATTTCTCCACGTGATTCCAGTAAGAACCAGAATTTAGTAAATGCGCGATAAGCCGAAGGAGAGACGTTCGATCGACGAGTGTTGTCCCGAGTTCTGTCACGAATTTTGTCAGTAGCCAGGAGCCTCGTGCCAAAGTTATGGCATTTCGTTCACGTACCGGTGTTTCTCCTTTCACAATAAATTTATTCTTCGAATAAATTCTCTCAACGACAACGGCAGAAAATGTCGATGGTAGAGCGAAGAGGAATATATGTCACAATGGATGATACGTACGCAACACAGTTCTTCGTTCGTAGACCTCACGGTTACTCCAAAAAAAGAAACACGCAATCGTGTAATAGTAATTTCCGCAACGAAATATTTGCGCTACAGGCATCGTATTACCTGTTCCTGTCGGATCGACATGATTGCTTGTTTTCGGCTTAATGTTTAATTTAGTCACGCAGGAGGGACACGTTGCATTCTTTCTCTTCCCTCTTTTATTGCTCTTTTATTCCACCGTACGTGCAAGAAATACGCTATTATCCTCTTACGTATCTTTCTGTAGTTATCTTGCAACAAGTGTCTTGTTAGATCAAACATTTACACTAACTTGGCTGTAAATATTGGACTCATTGGAGGAATCTCCGGCAAATGTTACTGCGTTTCGATAGAATTTGCACGTTAGATACATTTTTCTTTGTGTAATACCTTCGTAGAATCTGTGTGAGACAATTAGAGAAAGAGAAAATATGTAACTTTGTAATGAATCAGAAGAATCAAGCACAATTTCTTTCTAACTAAGCCATAATTTCCTTCTTCGCGAACTAAATTGATTTCCGCGCTACCGTCCACTCTATGAGTGTTAAATTAAACATAAATCAACAAATGGAGGATATTTGCATCTTGTTTCCTACGATGCATTTACTTACGCAAGCTTGTTTTGACAAAAACAAATCGAGTTGAACACGACGCATACGTACATCTGTGCATTTTGTAATATGTTTACAGAAATTCTAGAATCTTTAATTGATTTGTAGGAAAAAAAAAAGAAAAAAAAGAAAAGAAAAGAAACTGTCCGCCACAAAAATTGTTGTAGTTGTCGTGACTCGTTCATCTCCAAGGAATTAACGTAATCGTTTAAGTGGCAATAAAAAAAAAAAAAAAAAAAA